CCAAACAGACCAAACACTCTGAACCGAGAGAGCCAGAGAGCCGATTAAATAAAGTTTATGTCCTTCATGGCACATGTAATGGATTAGTGCTGTCCTAGAGTATGCCAACACTTAATTTATCACAAGCCAGCTGATGCCCTGAGTTAAGTGAAGAGCACGGACAAAAGAAGAGGTGAACGTGCGAGTTATTTACCAGGCTGTCACACTGCCAGTGGAAACCATGGAGCAGATGACTGCACCTGTTTAATTCACATTATTATTTTCTCTTCATTATCATGCAGATACTAGCGCTGCAAAGTTAACTACACAGACATTTTGCATTTTTTCCCCTAAAAAATAAGTGGGTTTAAATATTTTTGCAACAAGTATTCGGTCAATCTAAGTTTTTGTCATTTTATTAGTACTGTTTTAAAACTTAATGTTACTTGGATAACTTTTTGTTTGGGCTAAAAGCAAGGTTCAGGGTTCAGTAGCATGGCAAGTTTTAAAACCAATTTCAGAGAAGGAAGGAAAACCCTTGTGATCTACCAGAAGTGTCATTCAAAATGTTTAAACGCCTACTTAGAAAAAGTCGAACAACTCACATTCACTTTGGACTTGCCTGCCACAGCAACAAGACCACTCTAAACAACTTCAAAAGACACAGCCTCTTTGGAGCAATGCCTTGTTTAGTGTTTTGTTACTTCTGCCCCAACAATCTCTGACACTCACAGAGATAGATAGATAGATAGATTAAATTTGTATTTTAGTATAACAGATTAAGACATTTATCCACATTTGTTCTAAAACATCTTATCGAGGGGGAAAAAAAAAACAAAAAAACAAACAAACAAAAACAAAACAAAACAAAAAAAACCCCAACATCACTCAATTGCAGCTTTGCTCAGCCCCAGCAGTAGCCATCAAATGCTAGCAGGCACTAGGTAGAACTAGATACTTGCTTTATTCCCTTTGTTTTCTAATGCATTATTCCTTTGGAACTGGAGCTACTTAATCGTTTTTAATCCTTCCTTTGCCTAGAAAAAGAGGGGAATAATTTCACTTCTGCTTGAAATCAGGAAACACTACACTCTCAGGTCCACCATACTGTAAATTATATTTATTTTACTTAGGTTAGTGAAACTGCAGCAACCTTCCCCCACACCCTCAACTCCCCTCAGCACTGGCTGCTAGAAAGTCAGTTTTCAGAGTCATGTGCCTGATAAAGGCTTTTTTAGATAACGTGTGGAAAAACAGTGGCATTAAGTGGTTTGTTGGATTACTGACAATAAAACGTACCTAAAAGCAATCCCAGGGAGCACAGCACGAGCTCAGCCCCTATTCAAAGAGAGGCATCAGACAAATGCCTCGGTATTCATCTAACAAGTTCACCTGAAATTCATTGGTAGACCAGTACATTTTCAGATTAACAGTTCAACAGTTCTGCAACAAAATAGTGTTCGTGGATAGTCAATCTTCAATTACAAATTCAATACACAGAGCATTTACTATGTAACTGGAAAAAAGGTAATATAACAGTTTCTGAAGCCTAAAAACATATTGAAGAACATTTTTTACACCAATGAAATAAACAGGGGAAATGAAAAAGCGAATTTGTTCTTCCTGAACAAAAGTTTAATCAAAACTCATTAAAAGACATTGTGAGAATGCACCGCCACATGCAAGTATGGCAAATACTCCCCTTACCTAACCTCTAAGTGAGCTTCCCCAGAGCTGTAGCAAAACACAGCACTGCAGGACACAGCTCAGTTAAGCCCTCTGTAAACTGAAGTATGATTTATGCTGTGATGTCAAGCACCATGCATCCCACTCTTTAAACCACAAGGACATACTTCTGCCTGTACACTATACACAAACACCTCAAAAAATCTGTAATTTGTTTACACCAGTAAGAATTATAACATTTCAACAGACTTGGCCACCCCACTCCTTAAACTTCTGAGCAGTAGTGTAAGACTGTCCTGTTCCTTAGTGATAATTCCATTCATCCCATTTTGCTAAGCAATTCCAAAATGAACTCCAAGTAACATTTATCAACCAAATGTTTCAGACTTCAGTCAGTTGGATTAAGTGGTATGGTGCTTTTTTCTACAAACCTCAACTTTTTAAGCTATCAAACTACCAAGCAAATGACTTTTTAACCAAAAAAAGACAAGAAAAAAATCTGAAATGAGTAAAAGGTCACCTTAAGTTACTTATTTCTGTTTAATTTTAACCACTTGAAGCATTTTTAAATAATCCACTCAATTGTAACTAGGAGCAGACAGCTGTTTCTAGCTCTGACACTGTAAATAAAGCATTGCTGAATACTAGTAAAAGACAACAGGAATATAGGCACAAGGAAGACAGGGCTCCTTAAAGTTTACATTCCATTGGTTAGTGTTGCAAGCCAGCGAGAATGACTACAAACTATAACTCAAGACAAACAGAAAAACAAAATAGTTTGATACCAAGTCCAGAAAAAAGTGTTTTGAAAACACAAAAGGAAAAGGTGCTTTGCAAAATATTGGTATCAGACCAAAAAAAGGTACGTTTCCCAAAGCATGCATTTTGCCCCTGAATCTGAAAGGGGAGATCCAGAAGATGAATCATTAAAAGAGAGTCTATTTAACCTTAGCAGGAATGGTCTTATGGCTTCAAGAAAGCACTCAGATTCATGTTACTCTTTGGTAGTGTTTCTCAGAGCTAACTCCAGATTAATTAACTGTGTGTGTTGACAAATATAGAAATAGAGACTCTCTTTTTGCACCAGTAACAGTGGTCTTTACCCTGTATTTTTTCAGTTGACCCCTTACTAACTCGAGAATTGCAACAGAGCATAACTAGTATAATGTGAGATTCTGAATCAGTTCAATTAAAATCAGTCTAAAAGTTGACTTTGGGGAACTTCTGTGTCTCTAGTTGATATAACTTCCTTAATGCGATACCCCAACTAATTTAAAACAAAATTACCATGACTTGACTAAAACTGTCTTCCCAAACGACTAAGTTAAAAATACTGCAAAGCTGGTTTGCACCTAATATTTCCTCTTCCTTAGGCACATTAAAGAACATAGATTCCAACTCTGAAACTGAAGATTGGAAGCTCTCACCTTAAGTGTTACTAATTACTAATAATTACTAACAAATAACAATTTTGAGGCTGCTCTAACAAAAGAGAGGAACCAGCCAGAAAATTTCACAAGGATGCAGGCATTTTGCTTGAACATCAAGTGTGGGAAATTTCTTATCTAGCATTCTGAACAATGCTGAAAGATACTCTTGTATTTTTCATCGTTTCCTCCAGAGTCAGAGCTGGAAGAGGAGGAATATGAGTCTGAAGAGATGGATCCCTGTATCATGTAATATTTTGCTTGTCTAGCTTGGGGAAGGAAAAAGGAAGATATTGAGACACACAATGTGGTGAATTCAAACGTCTTCAAAAAACTGGTTTCTGAAATAGAGCTGAAAGCATCTTTTCCTCTATGAAAGGTAAAAGTGGGGAGGTAAAAATTTAAAAAAAAAAATCATGCACCAGGTTTTAGTATGTCAAGAAAAGGTAATGCAAACATGCTCTGTAGAAATGATCATGCAATCATTTCTAAAAACGGTTACAAAAAGTAGCAAAGCATGAAATATGTAGTTGAGAGGACAACTTCATGCAGAATGGGTTTGTACAGTACATACCCAGATAGGATCTCTTGGGAGGTGCTTTGATTTCTTCATCCTTACTATCTGCAGCTACATAAAAAACAGTTGAGGGAAAAAAAAAAGGAAGGAAAGACAAAGAGATTTGTATGATTAAATACAACAGCGGGTCTTTTAGTTACAGTTTAGTCAGTTAGTACATTTTGCTTACAAAAAAATAATAGTCAAAACAAAACATGCCAGAAATTTTAGTCTCCATGCTTTCTATCAGGCTCCCACCCCATGATGTTAAGATAGGGTCGAGCAGTAGGAAGTTCCAGAACAGTCTCAATGCACAACCCAACAGCAATGTACCTAGAGGGAGAAAATGAAGACTTAAAACCAGAGAAACAGACAGCTTAACTCTTACTTTATATACTTTTCATGATCAGAGAAAACAAGTTGTTACCTCAGCAACACTGAGTGTGTAGATATGTATGTATAATCAGCTAAGACAATACAGTTGCCTTGCCTCCTGTGGCAAATGCTGTTCTAAAATAGTTCAAAAAGCCTGAGCTTACACCAACCGTATCAAGAAGGACAGAGTAGACCCCATCTGCAACCATCCCGCATGCTAAATTTTTTCACTCTAGCCTTCCTCTGCCAGTCGAGAACCATGTATTATGCAAGAGTGCTTTCCAGTGCCAAAAACACAGCTCTTCAAGGGATCAGAGTGCTATAAGATACAAGTTATAAAGCAGGTTAAGAAAACCAGAGGTTGGAAGGAAGACAAAACTGGATGAATGACCAGAGGAAATCATCTTCATGTAAAAACACAAGAGTCCATATTCTACTTAAGGAGCCTGGGCTGTACTGTAAGAAGAGATGTCTAAGAGCCTGTTTTTAACAAACGCTGTCCACTGGTTGTCAGTATAGTTCATACATTCAGGGTGCTCGAAATCTGTCACAGTGTCTTGGGCATAACTGAAATTGAATCTTTGTTGGAGAGAGATGGAAGGCTTATTTGGGGAAAGAAAAAGAGGGTTCTTCATAGAGCATTTGTCTCTCCAAGAATATGAAGAGATTGCTGTGGCCTGCCAACACTTTTAAGAGTGACCAGATGTTTTTAGCTGTCCAGATCTGTGAGCACCTTGCTTCAGCCTCCTCTTGATTTTCAAGTCAAGACATGACACATGCACATTTTGCCTTTCAGTAGTTAGCTCTCTAGCATGGTAGCACCATCATGCCCCACAAATACTACAGTGCTTTGAACAAAAAACAAAACAAAACAAAAAACCAAAACCAAACCAAAAACCTATAACAAAAGAAACTATCATTGAACCTTGAACCTTTCTGTACTGAGCCAACATCGAACCTTGAACCTTTCTGTACTGAGCCAACAACACAGCATACAGCTGCACGGACACCAATTTAAAAGTGGGCAATGAATAAGGAGAGCTATTGTTACCACAATAATGGTACCAGAAGAGCTGCATTAAAGCAGTCAAGATGTGATTAAAGTGGTGTTAAATAAAGGCTAAAAGATGAAGAGGTATTGTTCATGCATGCTGATTTCATCTGAAGACTCCTTCACATAGCTTTCAAAGCATGCATATGCAGGAGACAGAACTGTCCTATCATTGGAGGTTTTAAAATAAAGTCAGGGGGGGTTTGTTGTTTTCTTGGTTTGCTCGTGTTTTTTGGTTGGTTGGTTTTTCTCCCCAATTCAGAACAGTTAAAACAGGCTATATAGTCCAAGTTTAAAAAATAATAAAACAGTTGGATATATAAAGAGGACTTACTCTGTCTTCGATCAGTACATGTAATTGAAGGATAAAGTTTATGTATCCAGAACAAAAAGTCAGAGAAGGCAACAGCAGCACAAGATGAGCTGCACCACTTTCAACTTACTTTCACTTTGCAAGACTGAAAGGGAGGAGTGGAAATCCCATAATTGAGAAGTAACTGAGAGAAAAAAATAAACAATTATGTGAGTTTTCCTAATAAGTTCTCTATACAGAGTCTACAAGAAATAATCAAACATTACTAGAAAGATTCCAGGGAGACTGTATTTTCCATGTTTTTCATGCTATGATAGTTACCCTACAAATGAAAGTACAAGCATTTCAACTGGATGGCTTTATGTCTATGTTCTGAATTGCTATTGATATGTATTTTAACCCAGTAACACCACAAAACAGGCTAGAGAATACAGAACAAGCTTGTCAGGATTAGTAGAAACTGTTCCTTAATGCTTCAAGAAATTTTAAATAGATTCCTTCTCAACTAGTTATTACTTAAAGGACCTTACCTGTGAGAATAATAAAAACAAAAGAAAAAAAGGCAACTCCCACATAGTTCAAAACACGCTGGTAAACATATACTAATGTGACTGGGGGAGAAATACCGCATTTAATAGTAATACAAGAAAACAGCAAACTCCCTTCCACTGAAATATTCTGTTCTATTCACTTTCTAAATATTTTGGATTATTTTGCAGAAACATTCAGAGAGAGGATAGAAATTAAAGAAGAAAAATGTTTAAATTGAAGATCAGCCATGTGAGAAATAACAAAATATATTGTCATACAGAAATTGTGCACCTTCCCCTCAGGATTCTGCAAGGTTAATGAAAAACACTGACTTCAAACCTAGCTTCTCACTGCCCCAGTAAGCCTTGAGGAAAGAAAGTAAGTACACAGATTTTCAGCTTGCCTAGATCACCATAAAACTTAAGAGATAAGATTTGGAGTAGGATTAGAAACACGGATCTCACTCCTACTCATATTATGCTTGAAATACAAATCTATCTTTCTGCCTCGCTTGAAAGGAGCTTTGTATGTATTTGCATGTTTATTCTGAGCCATCGCATTATAGCTGGCCTTACTAAAAATCAGAGGTAAGAAAAAGATTTTAGCTGTTTTCAACGTTTGCGGGAGGATGCATGCCTTTCGATGAAAACAAATAATAAAGGTCCACAAGTAGGTAAAATCAGTCTCTCTAGCTAATTAAACACATGACAAACTGAGTTTCAGGAAAAAGGATCAAATGACACAATGCAACCTTGAGAAGTTTCCATTACCTACTAAGGGAAAGACTGATTATCCTTTAGGAGAATGTGTGTCTTTCAGGGAGAGTTGTTTAAAGAGAGCTATATACTAAACTGAATAACCTCCCTTTTTGTCCAAAGGTTACCGAAGGAGCCTGCAAGAGCCAACAGTGTGTGTGTGTAAACGTGCATAAGGGTATTTCCCCTCAGAAAGGGCAAACAGAGAAACCTTTCTGCCACTTTGCAAAACTCTAGCACAGAGAGCAAAGGAGGGAAAAAGCGTACATGCCCCTCCCAAATGCTTCCTGGATTTTAACTGCTGCTAAATCTGGCTGAAAGTAGTTTTTAAGTCATTCATCCTGCCAGACTAACAACCCTTGTGAACACAGCAGCTTGTGTTTGGGAGCTGGAGTGCAGCTCCTCTTCCACATGAATTCACTTACCTGAATAGCTTCACACTCCACTCCACAATGAGCAGG